GAGAAAATAGCACTGAGAGAGGTGCTATCAGGAAGCTGAAGAAATAATGTATATTTTCCTTGTTCTCTAGACCAAGGAATTATCTCAAAATAAGATAACCATGGAAAGTATAATACATATTACCTAAAGCCACCAAACAATCTATTAGACATCACAGACATACAGAAGATATTTCCAAGAACACACATACTAATAGATTTCCTTTTAGCACGTAGCTTCTTCATAAATTATGACTATGCATGGTATTATGTATGCATTGGTTTATACTTGATCAGAATACAGACAAAGTTAATAGCAGACAGAGCTTGCTTAATCACAAAGTAACTCACTCTTCCCATAGCTCTGTGAGGACTACAATTTATACCTCAGCAGAGAGGGCCACTGTACCATTTCAGATTTTAAATAGGCCTGTGAATAAGTCAGCAATACCCAAAGCTCAGTGAGTACATGTATGGCCAAAATAACAAAGTTAAAACAAAACAACAAAAACCGATGACAGAAGCTCAGAGATGAGACTTTCCCAAAACGCCTTATGATTGAATGGCCCACCTACCCATCTGCTTGCAAGACTGATGTTTATACCCACTTCTAAAGTGGAATCACATCCTTGGAGACTATATCTACCTTTCTTTTAGGCCTAAGACTCTTCATCAAGTGGGCTTTGGGTTCCATCAAACCACACGCAGAGTGCTTATACCTTTCATGAGGGTTGGGTAGAAGAAGATCACTTAGTGTTGATTACAGATGCTTTGTGTTGTAATGGATCAGATTTTCAAAAGTCTCAACTGCAAAGCTCCCAAATGCCACACATAGACCTGGTAATGGTCCATGAAAATTGAATATTTAGAGGGTCTATGTGCAATCCGTTCCGAGGACTGCCTTTGAAAATTTAGTCCCATAACTACAAAGCATTTGTAGCATCGTAATCTGTCATCATTAGCAACAATGCTTGACTTGGTGCTTAACATTCTTATTAACCATGCAATTATGAATGCAGACAATGTTTAATCACTTTTACAAAAATACAGCTGTGTTGTTGGGGAGCTGTCATTTACTGCTCATTAATGATTGATTTTTTTAACCATCTAGATTATTTTCATGAGAACAGCAGATTAACTATAAAGAATTCATTATTGGTCATTAAAGGATATTAAAGGTGTGTCCTGCCTTGCTGCATTCACATGACTGCATTCATTCTTGACAACATGGAGATGGAAACCTCCAAATATCATTGTTCCAGAACTCTAGCTAAGAGCTTGGTTTGAGAAGAGGTGGAGTGAGGAGAGAAATTAAGAAAAAAAATCTCTTTTGCTATAATAAAACAATATACTTTATAATGGCCAAAATTTACCCCAAATAATTACTTCAACTATTGTCCAGCTTGTTTAAGAATTATCTGAACTGTGTGTGCTAATCAATTTGGAGCAGATTGTTAATAATGGACTATTTTGAAAACTTATAGCCGTTTCTCCAGCCCTCTTATACATGAAAGACATGAATTCCTTCCCTGCATTGTACTTTCATTAAAGAAAAGTCAGAGCAGTATTTTATAGCTAGACTCCTCTTTGTCTTAGATGCAGAGAACTCAGTTCTGCTCCATCGAATGTCTCTGGGACACACTGTGATGAAACCCACTTGTCCAACTGCCTACCCACAACAATAATTAAATTTACTTTATTATATTAAGGAAATCAGATTGTTCAGTATCGTTCCCTCCCTAGATTTCTAGTTCCAATAGTCACTGAGTTCATACCTGGGGTTCTTTATTTCCTCACATGCTCAGTAGCTTCCACAATCCAGATCAGAGAGAGGATTTTATAAATTACAACTCTTCCCTTCTGTTCTGTCACACCCTTACTACAGGTTTCCTAGGAAATATCTGCCTTAGTTTCTTTCAATATTTTTATATTATTCTGATAATAAGTGTGATATATATATTCATTTTAGAAAATATACAGAGCACATAGAAGCTATCCATAGTCTAAAGTCCAGAAATAACCACTAACTTTTTATATTTGCTCTTAGTATTTCTTCTTAGTGCATTTTTTTGCATGACCTTAGATGTTACTTATCTTCCCTGTGTTCAATTTCCTCCTCTTTAAAAAGGAGAAATAAAGTTATTATGAAGACTATATAAGTTAATATTTGTTACACATACAGAAGACACAAATTATGAGCTATGCAGCTATTTTTCATGGTGCCTGGTAGGCAAACAGCTGCATCAACATGAAGTTGAATATCTCCTTCCCAGCCATTGGCTGCCAGAAACTCATTGATGTGAATAATGAACACAACTGTGTGCTTTTTATGAGAAGCACATGGCCACAGAACTTGTTGCTGACACTCTGGGTAAGAATGCAAAGGTTATATTGTCCAAATTAGTGCGGAGAAAGACAAACACAGTTTCTCCAAGAAGCACATTGTGTGACTTATATCTCTATGCACCTGCTACTGCTACAGACCAAAGAGAACCACAGAGCAAAACCACAACTGTGTCTCTGGGTGGCTTTGTGGATGCCAACCTGAGCATTCTGAATTAAGCCCAAGTCAAGTCAAAACTAAGAATTTTTTAAAGCAGTAAATAACATTAGATCCAACAAAAGAGGTATGCACATTGTAGCTGTCATGGTTCCATAAATTATTGAGTGAGAAATAGTAATAGGGGCACTCAAAATAAAGAAGGATAAAATTGAGTGTATTAGTCTATTCTCTCTAACTATAGCAAAAAATCTGAGACTGGATGCTTATAAGGAAAAGATGTATATTATCTCACAGTTTTGAAAGCTAAAAATAATGTTTAGGCAGCTTCATCTCTTTGGCTTCTAGTGAGGTTCCCTGGGTCACATTGGCAGATAAGCAGAAAGAGAACCAGCCATGTGCATCAGGAAGCCATGTTTTATGGAGTAGTCTTGCTTTATAATAATCCTCTCTCCTAAAAGTTAATTCATTCTGTGAAATAAATATTAAACACTTCTGAGGGCTGTGTCCCCACTTACCTAACCACCTCCCATGAAGTCCTACCTCTTAAAGGTTCTACCCTCCTTAATACCACTACAGTGGGGACCAAGTCCCCCATACAAACCTCTGGAGGAAAACCATAGAGAATCTTCCCCCCGTCCTTCCTACCATGTGCAACCATTCCATCTCCACTAGTTCTCAAATCTTAACTCACTCCAGCACTGCTCAAAAGTCCACAGAGTATAATCTGAGACTCAAGGTAACTTTCTTATCTAACCATAAGCCTGTAAAGTCAAAAACAAGTTATCTATTTCTAAGATACTATGGTGGGATGGGAATAGAAGAAACATTCTTATTTTAAAAGGGAGAAATGGGGAAATAGGAAGGACTAAGTGGTACAAAGAAAAATTGAAGCCTACCTGGACATACATTAAATCTTAGAGCTCCAACTCTGGCAATCTGTGCACACTACAGTAGGGTAAGCGCCCAAGACCTCAGATAGCCCTTCCCTCATTAATGTTTTGATTTCAGCCCACACAACTGCACTTTTATGCTGGTTTTGAATGTTGATAGTGGTTCTATTATGGGATCCTATCTGTAGCTATATTTTCATGTCTCTACCAGGCATTGTCGATTCCACTGCTGTGGCAAACGTCTCCCTGGCTTCCTAGCTTTACTTTGACATCTCTGTGCAAACTACCGTGATCCCATAGCTCTCATATTCTGCACACCTGATGAACCAGCACCATATAACCATTACTGTCTGCCATTTCCTCCCTTTATCAATGCTATGAGCCATTCCTGGGCCTGCTTGAACCATGCCTGCAGTAGCTTTAAAGGATTTCTCTGAACAGCAGACTCCAGAGATCACAACGGGCAGTGAGTCTGCAGAACATGTCCTGGGATCATAAAACAAGTCTGCCCTAAGGGTCCTTTGGGCCTGTGATGGGAGAAGTGGCCTCAAAAACAATTGTGAAATGCCCTTGAAGCCTTTTTCCTATTGTCATTCCTACAGTCTTTAGCTCGTGGCTCTCTTTTACTTAGTTATGTGGCCATACTATTTTGTCCCAAATTGACCTTACAAATATATGCAGGCTGTAATTTTTCCAAATCTTTCTGCTGTTTCTTTTCTTTTTTTTTTTTTTTGATGCTGAATTTTACTCTAATCTCACTAAAAGTATCCAGTGCTAACTACCCAGCAGTCCAAATGCTTTGTTGTTTAGAAATTTGTTCAGCCATATTTACCTACTTCATCTTTCTCAGATGTCTCTAAGGTATGCACATATTGCAAGTAAGTTTTTTACAATGATGTTAGAGTGGCTTTACTTCATTTTCCAGTAGGATACTCATTTCCACTTGTGGCTAATACCCTAGTGTTTATCTTGTGAACCTTTACTAGAATCACCCAGAATGCAAGTGATTGCTTGCCTTCTCCTCTAAACTTTTCCAACCTCTGCCCATTACCCATTTCCAAAGCCAGGTATATTTCCATATATACAGAGCTATAGCAATAAGGTAACTTTTCAGTACCAAGTTTCTGTATTAGACTGCTTTTCATTGCTACAACAAAATACCTGAGACTGAGAATTCACAAAGAAAAGTGGTTTACTTAGCTCACAATTTTGAAGGCTGAAATTCCAAGCTTAGACAACCCTATATTTGACCTCTGCTGTGGGCCCCCTTGGCTATATGATAAATAAGCAGAAAGGGAACCAAGTGAATACAGAAGGAGACAGGTGCCTTACATGGCCTCACTTTATAACAAATTGCTCCCTAAAAAATAACTCGTTGGCCTCCAAGCAGTGCTAGTGGACTGGTGAGAATCGGAGCCACATGGAGCTGAACTGCTACCCCACCCCCACCATCCCAAGCCTCCCAGCATCATGAGTAGAGCCACGTGGGTGCCTGTAATACCACCCCACTGCCCCATCCCCTGCTGCCTCTAGCCTTCTGGCTGCTCTGGTAACTGGATCCATACCATAGACGCATAGGGTGTCATAAAGGCCATTGTCCTGAGCTCCAGAAGATAGAGCAGAAGTGAACAAAAGAAAGAAGGCCTCTCTCAGGCTCCTTGATGAAAACTGAAGCCAAAAGGGACACAGTCTCCGAAATAAAGGCACGCTAGCCCACAATATTTGGTAAGTTGGAGGGATCACCACCTCCCATCACAACCTGGACTATCTTCAGAGGAAGGGCAGCTAGAACCTGCAATAGGAACTTGTAGTGTTCAACCCTATAGGAACTCAGGGAGCTCAACTTGGGCCTTGAAGGCAGAAGAAATCAGCCTGAATCTCAAGTTAATGCTGCTCCCTTGCAGAGACTAATTGATTTAATTCTGCACACTGATGCCCACATTGTCTATTGTGAAGCAGAGACATACCCTAAAGGAGGCCCGCCATTTTTATTTTATATTTTTTAATTTTTTTCTTTTCCTCTTATTCTCAAAATTTTTTAAATATATTTTTATTGGTATATTTTAGGCATACAATACAGTTACATTCACCACTGGGATCTTGTACCTTTACATGACATATTTTGATTCTTATTTTTCTCCATTCCCTTAGCCTCCCTCCACTCCCTCCACCCTACACTATTTACAAAGACTTTGTATCTGGTTTTTTTTCTCTTATTTTTTCTTTTCCCTTCTTACCTTTCCACAACTCTTCCACTTCCCCAATAACGTTGGACATTTTCTTCCTATTAAACAATTTCAATTACACATTTTAATCATTATTTAAACTTTCAGTTTATCATGTCAGAAAAACTATAGAATATTTACATATGTGTGTCATATTACTTTCACTTAAGAGAATGTCCTCAATGTGCATACACTTAGCTATGAAATGTCTCCAGTATCTCTTTTTTTGGGGGGGTGGATTTTGAGACAGGGTCTCACTATGTAGTTGAGACTGACCTGGAACTCACTATGTAGCCCAGGCTGGTCTCAAACTCACAGCAATCCTCCTGCCTCAGCCTCCCGAGTGCTGGGGTTACAGGCATGCACCACCACACCCGGTCAGTTTCTCATTCTTTATGATTGAGTAGAATTACATTTTATTTACCAAAAACAAAAGCATATCTTCTTTATCCAGTATTCAGTTGATGCGCAGTTGGTCTGTTTCCAAATTTTATATATTACAAACTGTGCCATTATAATCATGGGTGAGCAAATATCACTGTGGTATGGTTCTTCTAATTCTTTTGGAAAGATACCCAGCAGAGGGATGACTGGGTCAAATGAGACTTTAATCCTAGTTATTCAAAATGTCTCCATATTGATTTCTGTAGGGATGCACCAGTCTGCACTCCCATCAAAAATGAAGAAGGGTTTCTTTCTCCCCACAACCCTGTCATCATTTGTTGTTGGTTGATTTCTTGATAGCAGCCATGCTTTCTGGCTTTCTGAAGTAGAATATCAGTGTTGTTTTCATCTGTATGTCTTGAATGACCAGTGATGTTGAACATTGTTTCATATATTTATTTGCTGCTTTTACTTCTTTGTCTGAGAAATGTCTGTTCATTTCAGATGCCCATTTTTGGATTAGGTCTTTATATTTGGGGGGCCTGATTTTTTTGAGTTCTTTATATATTTTAGATAGTAGACCTCTGTCTGAGGAACAGCTGGTGAAATTTTTTTCCCACATTGTAGGTTCTCTCTTAGCTTTGTTGGTGGTTTCTCTTGCTGTGCAGAAGATTTTTAATAAGATGAGATCCCAGTTGTTGATTCTTTGTGCTAGTTCCCATGCTACTGAGAATTTTTTCATAAAGTCTTTTCCTATGCAAATGTCTTCAAGAGTTCTACCTAACTTATCTTCCAACAGGTTTAGTGTTTCTGTTTTAATATTTAGGTCTTTAATACACTTCAATTTTAGTTTAGCACATGGTGAATGAAAGATATGGGTCTAGTTTTAATCTTTGGCAGGTTAAATCCAGTTTTTCCAACATCATTTATTAAAGAGTCTGTCTTTCCTCCAGTGAGGATGGTTGGCTCCTTTGTCAAAGACGAGGTAGCCGAGTATGTCTGGAGTTATTTCTGCATCTTCTAATCTATTCCACTGATCCTCGGGTATGTTTCTTTGCCAGTACCATGCTGTTTTTATCACAGTGGTTTTGTAGCGTAGTTTCAAGTTGGGAATTGTGAGAGCCCCCAGAGGCGAGAGCAGAACATTTGAGTGATAACATTTGGCCATCCTGTTGACACTGTGAGCAGTAAAACTATGCCCAGCTCTTCCTTCATGAGGACTACTAGGCTGGCAAATCATGAGTAATTTCTGATAAAAGAATCTCTTCTCATTAAACAATACTACAGTAAGGGCTATCACATTTGATTGCTGATTCTTGCCCTTTGTTCCCTGGGGAGATTTTTTAAAGGGAGATCCTTTTTAAAAGGGATCTAGAATTCCCTGGAGAGCTATTAAAAGCTATCATTCCCTGGATCTCAATCCAAAATAAGCAGATAAGCTAGGGTTTGGGTAAAGGGAAATCAACAGTACTTTGTACAAGGTCCTCCACAGTGATTCCAATGTGCAAGTAGAGTTGAGGAATACTGCTTCATAAGATGTAGCTGACCAACATAGCCTAACTTCAGGCACTCCATAATTTCAAGGAAACAATAACCTCAAAAAGTCCTCCAGGCATCACTTTGCTGTGTAGAAAGAGAATCATAGTTCTCTCAGGCATTGATTAGCTCTGTCAGTACAGGAAGTAATATACTTCCCCAGAGGCCATAAATAAATCCTGTCAAGTTGCAAACCTGTGGAATAATCTGGCAAAAAGTGACAAAGTGACAAACAGGGATAAGTGTTGGCCACCTCTGTCACTAACATATCATTGGGATAAATGGGAAATACAATACCAGTTATTCTGGATTTTCAACATCTTTTTATAGTAACTACTAAATTGGAATGGAAACACTTGCCCTCAAATTGATAGCGCACTTAAGTGGCAAGGTAATTTCTCAGCTCCTTTGGCCCCATTATCTCTGAGGTTTCCCTGATGTAAATTGTACCTTATCCTAGAAAAAAACACCATCTCTGAAACCTGAGAGGTCATCCCACTGAGAGGCAAGTAAACTGGCAGGCACACCGGTTCAAATTCTATAAGCAAATTTTGATCTTGGAGAAAGTCCTTTAATTATTTAATTTACTTTATTATATAATATATAAAAGTATATATGTGAAATCTTATATACTAACATAGGTATATGTCTTGCAACATAATATGCATGTGTGTGTGTGTCTTCTAATAAACCACTTTGGAAATTTAATATAGTAGGCCCCATATTTTAACATAGTTACATTTTTTTACATAGACTCAAATATCCTCTTTATTTTATCTTTTTAAAGTTATGATTAGTATATGTTTTCAGTAATGTTTACTTTCCTTGTGGGGAGTTGATAATGTGAATAACACATCTTAATTCCTTTTTTTTTCACCTCCCTTCCCCTCCCCTCCATTACTTACCCCCTCCCTATTTAAGAAACATCTATCTCCCAACTTCCTATTGTCTATATTTCATTTTATTTGTATTTATATTTTGGATTTCTCAAGTTTTAAACTTCTGTGTCTGATTTATTTCACTTAACATTATGGTCTCATGGGCACCCATTTTCCTACAAATGAGTCAGGTTTATTTTCTTTATATCAGAGTAATATTCCATTGTGTATAAATATCACATTCTATTTATCTGTTCATCTGTTGATAGGCACATAGCCTGCTTCCATGATTTAGCTGTTATGATTGAACTGCTATAAACGTGGGTGTGTGTATATCCCTGTAGTATGATATCTTTAACTCTTTTGGGAAAATACATTGAAGGGAAATAACTGGGTCAAGCAGAATTTCTGTTAAGTTTTTTAGGAATCTTCATACTGATTTCCAATAGTGCCTTACTAGTTTACATTTTCACAAAAAAATGTGTAAGCGTTCCTTTTTCCTTGAAGCCTCACCAGCATTTGCTATTATTTGATTTTAATGGACATTCTTTAAATGCTTTTTAATCACACATTCTAAATAACTGCTGAACAAATATTTTTAAAGTACTAGATTGAAGGGCTGTGTCACATAATTAGGTTGTCTAGAACTTTCATGTGAGTTAACTTTCCCCGAGCCCCTAAGCCATTGCCAATCAGTGTCATATGAATGGTTTCATATCAATGAATGCAGATTTATGCACTTTCAAAACAAAGTTATCCAACTGGTTATCCTCCAGTACTAGTTTTTAACTATCATGTCTTGAATGTCAGTTGTCGGTAAGTTGTATGGCAAAGGAAACCAACTCTGTCAAACTCATGATCCTACTGCCAAAATACAGAGTTGCTTCGAGAAATAGCTACCTGTTCAAAATTACATCCTTGAATCTACAGGGACAGGTGACTGGCTCTTTCCAACAGGACATAGGAGTGTGTTGTAGACCAATGTGGTTAAGTAAAGTGTGCCTTCCCTGCCCTGTCTTTCCATGTGGTGGAAATGTAGAGATGTTGAAAGCTGCGTGTTAAAGGTGATGCAACTGCAAGATGGAAACAGATTGGCTCACAACATAGAAGAAAAGCATTCATAAGCCATAGTTGTCTATTTTTAAATTTATAGAGTGAGAAGTAAATTTTTGCAGTGATTAGACCCTTCACATTTTGAACTTGTTTTAAGAGCAGCTGGTATCACACTAATGTAAATGCTGTTTCTGGCCCTGTGTCACACCTTCTACAAAACTCTACCGTGATTTTTTAAAAATAAAAGTTTGCTGTGACTTGTCAAAAAAAGCAGCTTCTAATACCTGAAAATAAGAGTTAATGAGAGAACATTTTATAATAGCTGATATTCAGAAACATAAACATACTTAAAAATGTTTTAAGTGTATCATACTCAGATTTTTTAAATCCAATGAAAATAAAGCTGATGCTTAGTAATTAAAGTTATCTTGTTTCAAAAGTGAAAATTAAGCTTCATAACTTTCTGTTAGCTGGATCCCAGTACTGCAATAGTTATAAATATGATATATACCTTCTCATATATCTGTCCTCAGGTTTGTTCTCAGAATTTCTCTAATACAGCATTTATTTTACAAAACATAAATGATTCATGTTCTATAACCTCTCTCAAGTGAAAAAAAATTATACGAAAAATCTACAAATTAAAAGT